AAGAGAGAATATTGAAGAAACAAGACTTAAAAATAAAATTACATTTTTATTATATAAATTCTTATAAAGTTATTTATTATTGATGGGCTTCTATGAGGTATCTTTACTACCAAAAACCATCTTTCTAAGAAAAAAATTCTCTCTTTTAACTCACAGTAACCTGATTTTCATTATTGTTATTCAAATAAAACTAACACAAATTCATTGCTATCTGATTTTCATATAAACTATTAAATTACAATTTTATCTTATGACATCATTTAAATATTAGAAGGTTGAGGTGACTACAATAGGGTATAAAATATAAAATTTATCCTTTAGATTTTCCAAATAAAATATTTATTCATAAGCAAGGAAAGAATTTCGAGTTGAGGCACCGTCTTTAAAAGAAATCTCAATCCATAAACATTTATCTGTCTTTTATTTGGAGATTGATGATCTAATCAACAATCGGTTGTGCATAAAATTATATCTATTTTCGTAAAAAAAAAAAAATCCAACTGTTTGCGTTCTCGTAAATAAACTATAAAGAACAACAAATGAATTATTGGTTTGTTAGTATTATATGTTGAATTCTTTATAGCCATGTTTTTGTGTAATGACCATGGTCCCTCATCCTTCCAAACTTCCAATAAAATGATATTTCAATTGAATAATTTCCCCCTTGTTTGTAACTTTTTTTTTGTGTAAGATAATTTACACGTTGGCTATTATGCATTTGAACATTACTTCCATGATAGGTTTCCAATTTCTAAAAAAAATAAAATAAAATAAAAATAAAAATAAACTCTTTAGCTAGATTTTATTATTTAATAAAAGAAATATATTTAACTTTAATCTTTGAATGCGGCTTGATTTTAATAATTGAGACCAAACTCATATTAGAGTCTATTTGGGGTAGCTGTAGTTGTTTGGAAAAGCATATGTGAAGCTGTTGTAGACAAAACTGCTATTAAAAAAACTATGTTGATTATTACAAATTTAATTTAATTTCAAGAAGTCAAACAACAACTTTCTGACAGCCAACACACTTTAACTAATCAGGTTGAAAAAACTGCTTTCTATAACAGAAATTTCCAAAACAGAACTGAAAACAATTTCCAAAACAGAACTGTGATGGTCCTCTAAAAAGTAAAATAGCCAAAAAGCTGTCCTAAACGAACCCTTAATCTCATACAATGGAGATAAAGATGGTTATTATCAACATCGTCACTCCATTCAATATACGTAAGATCTTCATAGTTTTATTAATTTTTTTTTCAAAAAAAAACATAAGATTTATATCAATGCTAACTCTTTGATATTAAAATATTCTTTTGATAACCACATAATATCACTTTCTTAGATTATTCATATAATTGGTCACAATTCCCTCTCAATATGCTATGTCAAATTTGTTACCAATTTTTGAAGCATATGTGTACATCAGAAATATGACTGCACGAATCTCAATAAGATCGAATGGATCACACAAAGAGGGCAGTAAAGGATCAAACCAGCTAACGATTTTTTGGTCGGTTGAATAATGGCAAACTTAATGAACACCTGTCCGAACTAAGAAAAAAAGTCACGCACTTACACCAACGACAACTTGACTGATGCAAGGGCATTTGTAAGTTCAATAGTCACCTACTGAGGACTTCTTCTATACAAGACTCATCGATCAAAGGTAGGTTGTCTGTCAGATTACAGTGATACACCCTTTGTCTAATGAAATAATTCTTCCCAATGACAATGATTCTTCCAATGGATCCCCTCAAAAAAGGTAACCAAAGGTCGTTCAGTCGTCAGAATGACTTTTAGCCTACCAAATGAATATCAAGCTAAGCAATTACGAATATGAAATGGTGTCAAGGTGTCAAGGACAGTTACAGATACAAAATGTCACCAATAGCAGTTACAGGGTCAAAATATGCCTAATTTGGTTACAAATATATAAAGGTATAATGGATCATAAATTATTGCAATGTTTACGTTAAATAAGGGATAATTATGTAATTTTTTAGACCCTCCTATGACTTATAAATAAGAGGGTTATTTCCACAAGAAAATAATGTCTAGGGTATGTACTTGTGGACTCCAATAATGCAGTGTCATTTGTAAGGCGGTGGGATCCAATTTTGCAAATTAAAAAAAATTGTGAAAAAGTTATTTTTCATGCGACCAGGCTCGAAGATTGCCCATTGCATTGAAAAATGACATTCTTGTGGTATTATTCTGGTATTCTAGTGGTTTTGTGATGGTACTATTGTGGTGTTCTGATGTATTTTGGTAATATTTTGGTGGTATTTTTGTGGTATTCTATTGACATGTCAGAATACCACCCTAATACCACCCTAATACCACCACAATATCACCATAATATCACAAGAATATCACCACAATATCACGTGAATACCATGAGAATATCATGAGAATACCGCCATAATACCACTAGAATACCACTAGAATATCACCAAAATATCACCATAATACCACCAAAATAACACTAGAATACCACCAAAGTACCCCCAAAATATCACCAAAATAGCACAAGTATTGCTTTTGGTATTATGGTGGTCCTTTTTCGATACAACGGGCAGTCTTCGGGCTGGGTCACGTGAAAATTAGTTTTTTTTCACATTTTCTTAATCTACAAAATCAGGTTCCACCATTTTACAAATGATGTTGTATTATTGGAATCTGCAGCTACCTACTCTGGACACAATATTTTCTCTATCTCCACAGCATGGACTATTGAATTTGGTTCAAGAAAATTGGTGCTATTTGTGCTCATTTTCACTTACTCTACTTCTCTCCTTTTTCTATCCCTCTCTCCTAACCAAAGCTCTATCCCTTGAGTGCAACCTAAAGAAAAATTCATAATTCAACAATATGATATTTTGGACGTGCATCCGCTCTTTTCGTCCATCTTAGGTGATTATATTTTTTTAGTTTTATTCATTCTCCAATTTACCATCCGATTTTATATGGTCTATCTTGAACTGTTCAAGCCTTATTAAATAGGAAAAATTACATACAAACCTCCGTAAATATTGATATTTATAAACTAACCCCCTGATATTCTTTATTTGAACTAATGAACCGACGTATTTACACGTCCCACAATCAAACTATTAAGAATTTGATAAAATAAAAATTAAGGTTTGGGGGTTTTACCATGAATTTTGATATTTGAGTGAGAATTTGACAACATGGATAAAAACAAGTGGTTGATTTATAAATAACAAGTTTCAAGCAATTTATATGTAATTTCTAACTTGTATCAACTAGCATGAGGACTCTTTTATCACCATCTTCCTCATTCAAAAAAAAATTATTTCTAAGTGAAGGTTCATTATTGCAAATTACTCTAATAAGGTTTGCATAATCTTTCTAAGAAGGTTATAAATCTAATTTATATGATTGTTTATAATAATTTGTAAATTATGTTAGTTACATATATACACAAACCCATGTAAATAGTCAAAAGGTTATCACCCTTCATGTCAAGGTTTTAGAAATCAACTCAAACATTGAACATGATGTAAATGACATAATAATAAGAGAATAATGATATTTTTAACAATTAAATATATAAAGTTAAAATTTGGGACAAATCAATGTTTTATATTTCAATAGATTCAAAATTAATCTTTTTGGCAAATAGCATTTAAGTTATTTAATCTAATTTTGAACTAAATATTAATCTCTTGGCAGCCAATTATGATATATCAATTTTAAAATAAAAAAATTTATTTATGGAAAAATAATTTTGGATTTTGACTGAATTGTTGGGAAGGCCAATTTGTGGGAGGTGACAAAGACTTCAAGTCCTATTCAATTTTTAAATGTGTACCACCAAAGGACTTTCTTCAAAATCTCTTATAGATCTTTAAAGATTGCTCTCTCTCTCCCTCTCTCTCTCTCACTCTCACTCTCTCTCTCTCTCTTGAAAAAATAATTTAACATCTAACCATTAAAAATTTAAATCCTTAGATAATTAATAATTGAAAACCTACCTGGTTCTGCCCCTAAATTTATGCATATATATATATATATATATATAGACACACACACACACACTAAAAAAACGGAATGATCAGAGGCTATTACTCGAGACTTGGTCATCCCTAATGCGTCTAACCATTTGAGTATTGCACCCTATACACGAGGAATTCAAACCCCAAACTAGAGGAAACTTACACCACCGAAACGAGTGCTCTACAAACTGACTTAGGAACACGGCGCAACACATTTCTTTACGTATCTCAATGTGCACAACACATTTCTTTATTGATATTTTCATAGTTAATTTTATTTTACCATTAGGTTTACTCTTATCAAAATATTAAAAAAATTATATTTGAAATAAATATTTTGATAAAATATATAAAACAATATCAAATAATATGTTAGCACAAGTCTAAATGTACTTAATCAAGTACTTCAAAATATAAGTAAAAATTTTGAAAATCAATTTAATCTACTAAATTATATATGGCTTTTTACCAACTGTCATAGCTCAGCATAATCAGCTGAACAAACCTTAACGATCCAAGGATTACAGATCCCCGCCGTCAGCGCGGTAGGGTAGCCTAACCACGGGCTCATTTATTTTTTATATACTCAAAATATCCAGTAACACCCCCATAAAAGCAAAGTCAATAAGGTACGTTTAGGCCTCATTTATTTTTTATATGCTTAAAATATCCTGTTACACCCCCATACAAACAGAAACTGCAAGGTAAGTTGGGCCGACTATTGCTATCACCATCCATTATTGCTACAAAAACTGAAATTACACAACATAAAACCTCTTTAAAATGTGCTAGTGGGTGCATGTTTGCAGACATCATAACCATAACATGCTCAGGCCATTTAGCCCAGAGATGACTTGAAGCTAATAACTGTAACATAAAAACAAATAAAAGACAACTAAATCAGCTATCCATCAAAACTCTAATACAGCAAACACTAATCACCTATCCCTGCTAACACAATCTAAAGAGAGCAAAAAGGTAATTTCCCTTTCAAAGTATGAAAAAGGTGATACAAATTAGATATAAAGCATTCTTATGCCTAAAATATGCCTACAGTTTTTATCACATTTGTGAAATTTCAGCATCAGGAGGGCTGAGCTCGCTTGTTCCTGCTGCAAGAGGGACATTTGTATTGTTTAATGTGTTCGGCCCTTGCCGGCGTGATCTTGACACACTTACCATGGAACCACCTCTCACAGACATCACAGCATATCCAAAATTCATCAGCATCTGCGGCATAGTCCTCTCCACATGCTCCACATAAGGTTTCAACATGCTCATCTTCAGCTAAACCTTCCTCTTTCTTGGTATGATCTTCATTTGGGTACTTGGGCTGAAACTCTGAAGATTTCTGCCATGTTTTCATGAATAAATAAGACTGGGATGACAAAAATTGTATCTAGCAATTAACTGGTAAAAAAGTAACACAGGCAGTGCCAGCAAGTAAATTCCCATGTTCCAAGAGGGTATTTGATTTTAATAAGAAAAATACATCAAGGAGATCACAATCTAAGTCTGTTATGAAAATATTGCAGATGCATGTAAGCTTATTCTATGTTTTAACAACAGAGAATAGGGAAAGTTTCATACATTCAACACAATTCCTGTGTAGTTACATATCTAACACCCAAAGGTTGATATTTACACTTATATCACTTCGATGTCAGGCATTAGAAGGTGCATGTGACTTCAAAAAAAGGTAATGATAGTAGTATTTTTTATATGAAGCTAAAGATTTGAATGATATGTATGCACCAATATAAGTCTAGGAGTTAGTATGTAAATATACAAGAATTGTGGGGGTATGTATGTCAATGCCCCTTCAGAAAATAATAATGTCTCGAATGGCAAGAATTGAACTAAATAACTATAAGAAGCTGGTCAAACTAAAAAATTACCCTTCCAATATATTCCTCTTTCAACATTATAAGCAACATGAACAAAAAATTGTGTTTAACATATAAATATGTTCTATTTCAATCAGACAAATTTCCTGAAAGAAAATGACTTGGACATAAAAGTAGAGAACAAAGCAGAAATCCTGAATTAAAAATGCGACAATAAGTTGGCATAAAAGAATTACACTCATAACTCAGCTTTGACCACCAACATCATTATCATCATTTGCATTATCCCAGCAATTTATGAGCATCTTGTTGAATCATCATTTCCCTTCACTCTTGTGGAGTGTTACAAGAGCGCTTAAATCTAATATTCACAAATATTATTGAAAAAAACATTTCGTATCTATGCTACCTTAAGTTCTATGATATCTCTTATAATCTTTGAAAACTAATTTTATTAACTTATCTAATGGGTACATTATTTACCATTTGTTGTACATGCACAAGCCATCTAAAAGTTATTTTCAATAGATGGTACTCCAACCATCCCTCCAATATAACCAAACCATTCATTAATTTATCTTTCATATCATGCATGCATCTTAGTAAATAGCAAGTCTAATTATTATTTATCCAGATTAATGCAAAATAACATGTCTAATTATAATTTTGTAAAATTTACTTCTCAAGCGTCACAGCTCAAATAATAGTCCTAAGGTGCATCTTTATTTTAATCTCACTCAATCTTGAGTCTGGCAGATATATACTTAGTTCCTTGTCTTGTCAATTTAAAAAAATTAAATATATCATATAAAGACATCACTTTACTTCTTAATTATATTGACTAAAGCTTGTAAATATCACCCCTGAATAATAATATATCATATACTTAATTTTTATGCTACGAACTCTAAGCCTCCATCTTGTATATGCAATAATATCATATATTGTCTCCTTATTCTAATTTTATATTTATTCAAGAAGACTCACTGATTAGAACTCTATCATTTGTCAAAAGAAAATATGAAAGCAATTATATATATATATATATATATATATATTTATATATATTT